CCATTAAAAATATGAACAAAAAAAATCCCATCCAAAATGAAACCAATAAAGTTCCCCAAACCAAAAAACAAACAAACAAAACTCAGAGAAACAAATGAATTGATTACCTAAATTTTTCCAGTATAATAAAAACTTGGGAGTCAGAAATTGAGATAGAGATCTGATAAATCAAGGAGCAGCAGAGTCCACTGGCTGACCTCTCCCTATGGTTTTCCCGATCTACCAGCCCAGAAAATCCCTGCCCCCTCCCCAAGTCTTTCTTCTCTCTTCCTGTCCCTCTCCAGCTGACCTCCTCAGTCCCCCAACAACTCTAATCCCAGTCGCCAATCACTGGCTCTGTCCTTTGACTCAAGGTGGCTTTCTTGGCACAGTGGAATGGCCTTATGAATAATCTCCTGCAACAAACACACTCGTTGGCAAGCCATTTAATTTCTTGAAGTATCATCTCTCTGGGTTTAAACACAGCAGCTTCATCTGGCCTCAGACACAGGAGGGTGGCCATGTTTGCTGCCTTGGTCTTCAAAAGCACCTGCTCAGAAATAACTGAAACTTGAAAACAGCCTTTCTCTCCTCTGCAAAGCCTCCTTTTCATGACTCATACTAACACCTCCAGTGTCTAGGCTTGTAGAAGGTAGATGTTGTTTGTAATACATCACCTTTAGAGAGACGGCCTTAGTAACAGGCCCTACCTTTAGACACATAGCCTTTATCTGGTTGTTTTTAAAGCTGCCATCCCTGGGAAAACACGACACTTTAACATCACAAGTTTTTCATTTGAGACAGGCTCTTTCGTATTCCAGGCTGGTTTGGAATTTGCTGTGTATCTGAAGATGACCTTGAACCTCTGATCTCCTGCTCCACCTCCTGAGTGTTAGTTTTACAGGCATGCGCCACCACACCCCATTCTGTGCAGTGCTGGGGAGGAACCCAGGCAAACACCTACCAACTGAACTACATCTCCAGACTGACAAGGCGTTTTGTTTTGTTGTGTGGCATATGTGTGTGTGTGTGTGTGTGTGCATGTGGAAACTATAGGTTATCTTTGGGAGTCTCCCTTTATCACCCTTTATTTAATTTACTGAGACAGGGTCTCTCCCTGAACATCTTTTCTCCTTTTTTCTCTCTTCCTTCTCATTCTTCTATTTATTCCCTGCCTGGCAGCCCCACCATGCCTCTCCTGCCTAGCTATTGGCCGTTCACTCTTTATTAGACCAATCAGCTGTTTACACAGCTTTACAGAGTTAAACAAATCCAACATAAAAGAATGTAGCACATCTTTGCATCATTAAACAAATGTTCCACAGCATAAATGAATGTAGCACGCAGGGTGGTGGTGGCGCATGCCTTTAATCCTAACACTCGGAAGGCAGAGGCAGGTGGATCTCTTAGTTTGAGGCCAGCCTGGTCTACAGAGTGAGATCCAGGACAGCCAGGACTACACACAGAAACCCTGCCTCAGAAAAAAAAAAAAACACAAACAAAACCTACAGCTTTTTAAAAATGTTTGAGTGGTAAGAGTTCTTTACTCTGGATATGGGTGCATTGTGAGACAGGTGATTCTGGAATGTCTTTTACCACTCTGTGGGTAGAAGTGCCGTGTGAATGCAAAGGTTTTAAAATCTAATACAGTTCATTTGTTTTGCACTTTTGATATATCTAAGAAACTTTTCATTTTATTTCCTTTCAGAGTTTCATAGTTGTGGCTTTTACATCATTTGAGTTGTACATGGTATGAGGTAGGATTCACCTTGGCTCTTTTTGATGTAGACATCCAATTAGGCAAGCACCTTTTATACAAGGACTCTTTTCTCGGGGAAGGGTCTTGGTATCCTGTTGAAAGTCAAGTGACCACAACTTAAAGGTTTGTTTATGGACTCTCAATTAATTGATCTATGTGTTTATCCTCCAGACAGCACCACACTGTCTTGGTCACTGTCACTTTGTCTTAAATTCTGGAGTCAAGAAGTGAATCCTGTACTTAGTTGTTTTTCAGGATCATTATGACCATTCTGGGTTGCCTGCATTTCATAAGGATTTTAGGATCTTCATGTCAGTTTCTGAAAAAAGGCAAGAAAAACAAAAACAAAAAAATCAAAGAAAACTGACATTTTGATAGGTATTGGGTTCACTCTGTAGATGGCTGTGTGGACTATTGTCATTTTAACATTTTATACACCAACCTATAAATGTAACACTTTACATTTACAGATATTCCCCACATCAATGATGTATTGTGATGCTTATTTTGGTCATCACCCAGACACACCTTGGAAGAGAGACCCTCAACTGAAGAACTGCCTCAAGCATATTGGCCTATGTGTGTGGGGGGCATTTTCTTGCTAATTGATGTAGGTGGGCTCAACACACTGTGGTTGGGATCATCCCTAGAAGGTGGGCATGAATGTACCAAAGGGTAGCTGGAGGTGAGCCTGTCAGAAGTGTCCCCCAGGGTCTGCTCTTTAGTTCCTGGTTTTGGGTTCCTGGCTTGCTTCACCTGGTGGGTTGTGAGCTGTCAAATGAAATAAACCCTTTCCCCTCCAAGTTGCTTTTGGTCATAGTGTTTATCCCAGCAATAGAAAGTGGACTAAAAGCTGGGCAGTGGTAGCTCACACCTTTAATCCTAGCACTTGGTAGGCAGAGGCAGGTGGATCTCTGTGAGTTCGAGGCCAGCCTGGTCTACAGAGTGAGTTCCAGGACAGGCACCAAAACTATACAGAGTAACCCTGTTTTGAAACAAACAAACAAACAAACAAACAAAAAAAGTGGACTAGAACACCTGGCTTCCTCGCCCCCCCCCCCAATTTATTGACTGTATGAAGACATACAAACTTTACTTCATGTCTTGAATTAAGAAATCTTTTCATGTGCTAATGACATGTAATGAGATATTTTTTGATGGTGGGCATTGGCAGCAGTAGAAAGACCCAGGTTCCCCACACACCCAAGAAGGTGAAAACACGAAACTCTATAGAGCCCCACGTTGCTAAGCTACGTCGCCAGTAGGTTAGGTGTCCGAAATTCATCTTTTGACATAATATCGTCACTTTATGATGAACTTATAGGATTTTGCTTCATTGTAAGTCAACGTACATCTGTATCAAGTTCTTCTGAAACATCTTTGAAAGATGTTCAGTTTTTACAGGACAAGGTTGAACTTTTTAGTTTACTTTATTCCTAAGAATTTTATTCTTTTTGATGCTGTTATAAATGGACTTTTTTTCTTAATTTCATTTTGCTAGTGCTAGAGATAGAATTGATAAATTGTGCATTTTTATATCATTTCCTTTTTGTTAAATATTGCAAACATGTCAAGATATATTTCTTTAAAGTTGTTCTTATAGCCTTGCAATAACATTTAGGGTGAACAAACTAAACAGTTTCAAGGAAACATTGGATCAAATCTTAATAAACATCCCTGATTATTTCAGGGCTATAAATCTCTACAAGAGAAACTGCAGGACAAACCATATATTGGAGTCTTTGGCTACGCTGCAAATTCCTCCCCTCAAATGGAAGGGTTCTGCACTTTTACCAAGAGTGTGCTGATTTCGTGAATTCTCTTCAATCCTCAATTTTATAGTTAATTCATTTTATCAGTTTGATAAGTGAAAGATGAGGATTATCGATTGGTGTCTTGTTCGCTTCTTATTCCCAGGAAGATCAAAATTCTAAACCAGCGATGTTTATTTGCTTTAAATTTTCTTTTTATGTAAGTTGCCTGTTTGCTCTCGTAGCCCTGATGTTCAGCTTTTCCGTGTTTGTTTTGCAGAAGCTGCATTGTTAAAGGATTAGGCCAACATCACGTGTGAGCAGTCTCTCCCGCCTTGCTTTCCACTTCTTGTTGGTTAAGGTGCTATCTGACATTTAAGTTTTGAGTCCGTTCTCACGGCTTCTCCTTTGTATTAGGTAGGCTCATGAACTCTGTTCCCTCCATGTTCATGAAGAACAAACAGAAGATTGAGTAGGTCGCATAACTACCCCAGCATTTTATAAATATACCACTGGCTCAATCCTTCATCTCAGTCCTGAGCTTTTACAGCAGAGTAACACAGTCGCCTTAGACCATGACACCACGAACAGACGTCTTGTGGTGGTTGGGATTGCGTCCTGGTTTACACACAACAATCTTTTTACTGTGCCCTCATGCATCAAGTGCTAGCCTGCACACTCTGGTCTCTTGTTTTTCATTCATTTTGGTTTTGTTTGTTTGTTGTTGTTTGCTTGTTTGTTTTGTGATGGGGTTTTGTTATGTAGCTCAGGCTGACCTTCAACACCCGATCCACCTGCCTCAGCCTTCCTTAGTGTTGAATTGCACATGTGGGCCACCATGTTTAGCTTGGGGCTCATTTGTAAGGACACTGATCCCGTTCACCAGTACCAATCCCACGATGTATTCACTTGAGTGTTCCTGGCTATAAACCTGTACAAGCGGAACTGCAGGGTTTCAGCCTAGGAATTTGTGGGGGAGGGGCAGGGATATTCAGACCACAGCACCTCTCCTGTGCCATTTTGTCCCCAACTCTGTATCCTGGCGGAGCAGTGTTTTCACATCTTGCCTCGTTCCCCTTTCCCTAGTCTTCAAAGCTTTAGTCCTGTTCGTCTGGGACACTCAAAGCCCTTGAGCATGCTAGTTTCCCCAGCAAGTAGCACCTGGACCTCTAAAGGATTCCCCGAGGTGCCTTTCCAGGTCGGCTAACCACAGCATGCACCACTGGTTTGTGGTTTATACGTGTACTTTCCACCACTGCTAATTCTGGGAGATCCTTTAATCCCTCGCCTGGGAACGGGAAACGTCTTTGACAAAGTTCTACAGGCAGAGGCGGTTTCCTGCAAGCCTCCCAGACGCTGGAGACCCTGAATGTTTGGCGAGAAGACCGCTTTGATTTCTGACCTGGCTGTTAGGACAGTCGGAGGACCCTCGCTGGTGCTCCGGGCTTTGGGGAGGGGGGAGGGAAGTTTGCAGCCCACGGAGTCCACTCCTGCTGGTTCCTGATCGCTCCAGTGCCAGAAGTAGCTGTAGGTTCCGCAACCTAGGCGGGCTCAGCGCGTGGACCTAGGGGCGCGGCCCGGGGCGCCGCCCACATCCCGGGGCTGCCCAGGAGCGCGGGGAGTGGCAGCCGCCTGCTCCGCAGTGCCACGCCACGCACAGGCAGGAGACCCAGCGCCACGGGATGGCGGTGGCTCCAGGGTGGGCACCGCGATCCTCACCGCCGCTGCCCACGCTATTGCTGCTGCTGCTGCTGCTGAGGATGTCGCCCTGCTGGTGCATGGTGGCTCAGGACCCTCCGGCGGCCGCGCTCAGCCTGCACCCGCCTTACTTCAACCTGGCCCAGGCAGCAAGGATCTGGGCCACCGCTACCTGCGGAGAGCGGGGTCCGGAGGTCGCAAGGCCCCGGCCAGAGCTTTACTGCAAACTGGTGGGCGGCCCCACCGCACAGGGCAGCGGCCACACCATCCAGGTATGGTCCCCACGGGTAGCGAGGATTGGGTCGAGAGTTGTGACTGGCTTTCTGCATGGGCTTGTCACCGTGGCCAAAGGATGGGTCTTCTTTTCCTTACTCAGCTAATGACCACAAGTGCCGGGGACCGGGCTGTCCCAAGGCCAGCTGGCTGGGGACCCTGTGGCCTGGGCGCAGTGCTCTTGGTACAAGCCAGTGGGAGCGCTGCCCTGGCCGCATGCCATCCTAGGTGGGGTGGGCAAAGCCAGAGTGAGTGAAAGCTGTGGTCAGGTTCCAGCTTGTAGAGGAGGAAGCTCGAGGCTTCGTAGCAAATGTCCATCACCCAGATGGCGCCCGGCCAGCCCGGGACTGACCTGGGCTTCAGAGGCGGCTGTCTGCCAAACTTTTAGGTTTTGCACCCTTATGCCTAGGAGACTTGGGTAGCATTTCCGGTTATATCCGTAGTACTACTTCACTGTCAGCAAAGATGCATTTCATCTGATGCGCCAACCCGCAGTCCCAGGGACCAAGGAGACCTTCAGTGGGCAGAAGCAGACGCCACACTCTGGCAAGCACCTGGTGGAGATGAGGATGCCTGAGGTCGGTGCGGCTTCATCGTACCTGGTGATGAGCCAGGCCCTCACACCCGGGCCTCACCTTGGGCTGGGAGGTGCTCAAAGGAGGAGGCTAAGAAACAGCATTTTACTCTAGGATGGGTGTGAGCGCTTGAATCCAGCCCTAAGTCCAAATCTTTGCTCCTGGGAGTGCTGCTGAGGAGAGGAAGTGTTACCAGAAGAGGGAGTAATTCTGGAGCTTAGAGTGTCTGGGTTAGTGTGTTGGACAGTCTTGACGGGTTTCACCATAAATGATAGGTAGTTGAACTTGCCATGTGTATAATGCAAATTTGTGTATAAATTAATGCATGTGTGAGCATCCTCACATATTGTACATATCTCACTACATGGAAAGAAAAAAATTGAAAAGATAAAGTTTTTTTTTTTTACCATATAGTGTAAATATGCAAAAAGGGGAATAGAAGATAATGATGATGAAGACACTTTAAATTTTCTCCAACAGATGCCAATTATTTTTGCTTTAATTATTTGTTATTGTGTATAATTAGACATGTCTACAAATGTAATTGTGACACATTTAGTTTGGCACTTTTCGCTCAACGGTTCCAAGTTGGTCTCACAGGTCGTACATCTGAATGATCCCTGAAAAGGTGGAGGCGCATGCTGAGGACATAGCCCAGTGGTAGAGTTCTTGTCTGGCATGTAGGAGGCTCCAGGTTTGATCCCAGTACTAAAAACAAACAGAAAACCAAAACAGCATTCTACGATGCAAAGCATGGTGGTACATACCTATAATTTCAACACTAGAGAGCCTGGGGCAGGAGGACTGAGAATTCGAGGTTGACCCATCCTATATGACAAGTTCAAGACCAGCCTGAGCTATATAGTAGGACCCTGTGTGGGGAAAAAAAATCATTAAAATTTTTATGATGCTGGAACTAGTTTCAGGATACATGAGTAGCTCATTAGCCACTTCCAGTGTGTTCCTGACATGCTCTTTTCTAGCACACTTAGAACACAGACTGAGAAGTCAGAGTGGCAGATGGCATGAGGTGGTGACCTGGCCTTGTTCAAGAATGCACAGCATGGGGGGATGGGGTGAAGGTCAGGACCATGTCACTTTTGTTGATGGGGGGTGGGGTGAAGGTCAGGGCCATGTCACTTTTGTTGATGGGGGGTGGGGTGAAGGTCAGGGCCATGTCACTTTTGTTGATGGGGGGTGGGGTGAAGGTCAGGGCCATGTCACTTTTGTTGTCCACCCACTGTCCTCTCTTTTATCTCTGCTTTCCTTTTCCTTCCAACTTTGGATTCTTTCTTCCTTTCTTTGTAGTATAGGCTGTGTGAACAGTGTCCTGCCAATTACTGTTGTGTTTGGAAGCACTGAATTATAGTGCTGTAGTACAGACCAAAAGAACATGCTTTTCACTTCAAAAAATTTTGGATGGTGACAGACAGAGGAGCCACCAAGTTGCGCTGGGTGACAGGTTTCATGCTGTGTGCACTTATGCAGAATTCACTCAGGTTTTTTTTCCCACAGAAACTTGGTGAGTCATTGCTCTCATTTCATGCTAAATTCATCATTCTCTGCTAAGGAAAATCATGTGCACTGACAATTTTCTTTTGGAAAAAAAATACATTAGAAAAATTTATTTCCCCATTTAAATAAATGAAAATATGAAACTTTTAAAGTTAATGAATTTCTGGCTTTGCCACAAGAAGACAGGCACACATTCCCAAACACCTGCCTTTCAAAATGCTTTTTCCTCCATGAGGCATGTATTTTCTTAGAAAAGTGTTTACTTTCCCACACACTTTTGGCACAAGACCCCTACTTTGCTAAAACAGAGGGTCTGTCTTTATTAGTCTGCAAATATCAGGTCATTGTCCAACAGATTCCTGCTGGCAGACAGTTGTCATCCCAGACAGTCAGCAAATTTGGAATGTTTGGGGAAAAAATCCATGTAATTCTTCCTTTAAAAAGTGTTTTAATGTTGTATATTAATTATACAAGACAATGGGCTTCAATTTTCACACCTGCGATCACATCCACGCATCGACCACCGTCTCTCCCTTCCCTTCTCTTCCTCCTCCCACCCCCTTTCCCTACATGCCATCCATCGTCCAGCTTTCCCAGCACAAGTGTTTGACTAAAGATGTCAAACACTTCTTCATGTATTTACCGCTGTTCAGCTTCTACTTTCCTTAAAATTTATATTCTGCACAAGAGGGAGAAGCAAGACATTTTCTTTCTCAGTCTGGCTCATTTTGTTTATGACCCCCACCCATAAAATTATTTTCTTGGCCACTTCATAACTGTAATTTTGGTACTGTTATAAATCATAATGTAAATATCTGTGTTTCCCGGTGGTTTTAGGCCACCCCTGTGAAAGGGTTGTTTGAGCTGAAGGGTCCGGACCCACAGGTTAAGAACCACTGCTCTGCTGTGTATATTCACCACACTTTCTTCATCCAGTCATATGTTGATGAACAGCTAGGCTATTCCATATCCTGGTTGTTGTAGGCAGTGTGAAAATCAACACAAACATACAGGTATTTCTATTGTAAGCTAGCTTTGACTCCTTTGGGTATGCCCCAGGACTTACAGTGTAATTGCACTATATAGTAGTTTTATTTATTCATGCTTTAAGGAACCTCCATTCGGAATGCTATAGTGGTTGCACTAATGTATATCCCCACCAGCACTGTGTAAGGACTTCTTCCTATGAATTTCACTAGCACATCTTGTTTTCTTTATGGTACCATGTTGACTGGGATGAGATGCACTCTCAACGTAGTTTTGGTTTGCATTTCCAGACTAAAGATGTCAAACACTTCTTCATGTATTTACCGCTGTTTGCATTTTTCTTTTGGAAAGTATCACATCAGTTTGTCTATTTGTTCCGGGGATTAGTTTTTTGAATTCTCTGTATATCCTGAATATTAATCCTCTACTAGTTGAATCGCTGGTGAAGATTTCCTTCCATTCTGTATGTCCCTTCACTCTGTTAGTTGTTTCCTGTGATGTGTAGAAGCTTTTTAATGGTATACACTACCATCATCATGTCTTGCTATTATTGTCTGGCCCCTTGGAGTCCCATGAATGACGTTTAGAATGTCATGGTGTATCCCTGTAGCTTGATGGGTCCCCCTGTTTCCCATTTCACACTAAGGTCTTGAATCACTTTGTTTTGATTTTGATCTGGGTGACAGGCAGGAATCTACTTTAGTGGTCTACATGCCATCCATCGTCCAGCTTTCCCAGCACAATTTGTTAAAGTGGCTAGCTCTAGTTTCTCCAACATATATTTTTGGTATGTGTGTTGAAAATCAGATCGCTGCAATTGCATGGGTGTGTTTGGGGGGTTCTCTATTCCTTTAGTCTGTTTCGGTTTTTGTGACAGTTCCATGAGGTTTTAGTTACCATAGCTCTGCAGTATAATTTGAAGTAAGGTACTGTGACGTCTCCAACGTTGCTCTTTTTGATTAGGATTGCTATGGCTGCTCAGGGTGTTTTTGTGCGTTCAATTAGTTCTGTGTAAAAGTCACTGGGATTTTGATAGGGATCACACACAGTGAAGCAGTAGATGGCTTTTGGTAACATAGACATCTTTGTTTTTGTTTTTCGAGACAGGGTTTCTCTGTGTAGCTTTGCGCCTTTCCTGGAACTCGCTTTGGAGACCAGGCTGGCCTCGAACTCAGAGAGCCGCCTGCCTTTGCCTCCCCCACCACCCAGCCTACATCTTAATTGTATTTATTCTGCTTACTCATTAGCACCGGAGTTCTTTCTGTCTTTGTTGTGGAATATTATTTTAACTGTGTAAAGGTGTGTTACATTTGTTTCTGTTGCTTTTTGTTAACAATGCAAAGATGTGTTACATCATTAAATAAAATTAACCTGGGGTCAGGAGGCCGAGTCAGCAACTAGCTCACAGGAAGTGGTAGGGAGGAACTAAATTCCAGGGTTCTTTAGTGGGGGCTGAACAGAAAAGGACAATCCCTTTTTTTCCGGGAGACACGAGCAATGAGAGGTTAGCTACTTGCTATTCAGCCTCCCCGAGTGAGCAGAATTTCACCTCAATCTTTGAATCCTGAGTTCTATAGAAGGATAGAGATTCAGATGAAGTTTCCTTTAGTGGCCATGACAGAGCTGGTGCCTGAGGGACCAGAACTCTGCCTGGCTGGGCCAGTGCTGCCTTAACCGCTGCTGGTAGCTGCGGAGTTGCAATTGCCGGTTAAGACAGCAGTGGCTTGAGGGGCAGCCATTGCATTGAACGCAAACCAACACGTCTTTGAGGGTCTTCTTCAGGTTCTTTGTTCAGTGTTGGATAGTTTTCACTGTAACAGTCTCTCACTTCTTTGGTAGGTTTATCCCCAGGACTTTTTTAGACCTTTATGAATGAGATTATTTTCCTAATTGCTTTCTCAGCAGAATCATTATTGGTATAT